CAATGATGGGGGCTTCCCTGGTGGCGCAGTGGTTAAGAATCTGCCTGCCAATGCAGGGGACATGGGTTCAAGCCCTGGTCCAGGAAGATCCCACATGCTGCAGAGCAACTAAGCCCTTGTGTCACAACTACTGAACCTGCACTCTAGAGCCTGAGAATCACAACTACTGAAGCCCGTGCACCTAGAGACCATGCTCCTCAACAAGAGAAGCCACCACAATGAGAAGTCTGCGCACTGCAATGAAGAGTAGCCCCCGCTCACCACTAAAGAAAGCCCACACGCAGCAATGATGACCCAATGCAGCCAAATATAAATAAATTAATTTAAAACCATATGGTAATTAATTACCATAGGACCCAGCAATCCCACTACTGGGCATATACCCAGAGAAAACCATGATTCAAAAAGACACATGCACCCCAACGTTCATTGCAGCGCTATTTACAATAGCCAGGTCCTGAAAGCAACCTAAATGCCCATTAACAGACGAATGGATAAAGAAGATGTGGTACATATATACAATGGAATATTACTCAGCCATAAAAAGGAACGAAAGTGGGTCGTTTGTAGAGACACGGATGGACCTAGAGACTGTCATACAGAGTGAAGTAAGTCAGAAAGAGAAAAACAAATATCATATATTAACGTATATATGTGGAATCTAGAAAAATGGTACAGATGAACCTGTTTGCAAGGCAAAAATAGAGACACAGACATAGAGAACAAATGTATGGACACCAAGGGGGGAAAAGGGGGATGGGATTGACATATATACGCTAACATGTATAAAATAGATAACTAATGAGAACCTGCTGTATAGCACAGGGAACTCCACTTCGCTGTACAGTAGAAACTAACACAACATTGTAAAACAACTGTTCCCCAATTAAAAAAAAAAAAGGAACTTGAGACGGAGAGATTATCCTGGATTATCTGGGTGGGCCCCATGTAATCACAAGGGTTCTTATAAGAAAGAAGGGGACTTCCCTGGTGGTCCAGTGATTAAGACTCCATGCTTCCACTGCACTGGGTGCAGGTTCAATCCCTGGTCGGGGAACTAAGATCCTGCAAGCCATGCAGTGAGGCCAAAAAAAAAAAAAGAAAGAAAGAGAGAGACAGCACCTTTGGTCAATTAATCTGTGACAAAGGAGGCAAGAATATATAAGGGAGAAAAGACAGCCTCTTCAATAAGTGATGCTGGGAAAACTGGACGGGTACATGTAAAAGAATGAAATTAGAACATTCTCTAACACCATACACAAAAATAATCTCAGAATGGATCAAGGACTTAAATGTAAGGCTGGACACTATAAAACTCTTAGAGGAAAACACAGGCAGAACATCCTTTGACATTAATTGCAGCAATATATTTGCGGATCCACCTCCTAGAGTAATGAAAATAAAAACAAAAATAAACAAATGGGACCTAATTAAACTCAAAAGCTTTTGCACAGCAAAGGACACCATAAACAAAACAAAAAGACAACCCACAGAATGGAAGAAAATATTTGCAAACAAAGTAACCAATGAGGGTTTAATCTCCAAAATATACAAACAGTTCATGCAGCTCTATGTCAAAATAAATAAATAAATAAACAACCCAATCAAAAAATGCGCAGAAGATCTAAATAGACATTTCTCCATGGAAGACAAACAGATGGCCAAAAAGCACACGAAAAAATGCTCATCATCACTAATTATTAGAGAAATGCAAATCAAAACTACGAGGTACCACCTTACACCAGTCAGAACGGCCATCATCAAAAAGTTTACAAACAATAAATGCTGGAGAGAGTGTGGAGAAAAGGGAACCCTCCTACACTGTTGGTGGGAATGTAAATTGGTACAGCTACTATGGAGAATAGTAGGGAGGTTCCTTAAAAAACTAAATATAGAACTACCATATGATCGAGCAATCCCACTCCTGGGCATATATCTGGAGAAAAGCATAATTCGAAAAGATACATGCACCCCCATGTTCATTGCAGCACTATTTACAATGGCCAAGACATGGAAGCAACCTAAATGTCCATTGACAGATGAATGGATAAAGAAGATGTGCTACATATATATAATGGAATATTACTCAGCCATAAAAAAGAATGAAATAATGCCATTTGCAGCAACATGGATAGACCTAGAGATTATCATACTAAGTAAGTCAGGCAGAGAAAGACAAATATCATATGATATCACTCATATGTGCAATCTAGTTTTTAAAAAATGATATAAATAAACTTATTTACAAAACAGAAACAGACTCACAGATTTTGAAAACAAACTTATGGTTAACAAAGGGCAAATGTGGGTGGGAGGGATAAATTAGGAGCTTGGGATTAAAATACACACACTATTATATATAACATAGATAACCAACAAGGACCTACTCTATGGCACAGTGAACTCTACTTAATATTCTGTAATAACCAATATGGGAAAAGAATCTGAAAAAGAATTCATATATGTATATGTGTAACTGAATCACTTTGTTGTACACCTGAAACTAACACAGCATTGTAAATCAGCTCTACTCCAATGAAATTTAAAAAAAAAAAAAGAAAGAAAGGCAGAAGAAGTAGATATGTAGATGACAGGAAGTCAGAGGGATTAGAAAGTGCTGCTGCTGGCTTTGAAGATGAAGGAAGCTTCTAGAAGCCGGGAAAGGTCAGGAAATGGATTTTCCCCAGACCCTGGAAGGGAAGCAGCCCTGCAGGCCCATTTTAGTCTTCTGCCCTCCAGAACTGTAAGGTAATATATTTGTGTTTTTCTTTTTTTTCTTTTTTCTTTTTTTTTTTTTTTTGCGGTACGCGGGCCTCCCACTGCCGTGGCCTCTCCCATTGCGGAGCACAGGCTCCGGACGCACAGGCTCAGCGGCCATGGCTCACGGGCCCAGGCGCTCCGCAGCTTGTGGGATCTTCCCGGACCAGGGCACGAACCCGTGTCCCCTGCATCGGCAGGCGGACTCTCAACCACTGCACCACCAGGGAAGCCCATATTTGTGTCTTTTAACCACTAAATTTGTGGTTACTTGTTACAGCAGCAACAGGAAACTAACACAGACATCCACTTCAGACCTGAGGGGAAAGACGGGGAGGTCTGGGGCCACTAAAGCCCCATTTCCTGAGAAAACCACCCCCATCTCCTGCCTGGTGAAAGCAGAGGTCAGGGCCTCAGGTCTTCCAGACACTCCAGCCAATAAGACTGGTCACGGAGGGAGGGGAAAGGGCAGTGGGGGAAATGCCCTGCCTCCACCTAGCAGGGTGAGGGCGTGGAGTGGAATGAGAGGTCCCACTCCTCCGGGACACTTTCGGGGCCCCATCTTCTCACCACCCCACGCCCGTCTAGATCCTGAAAAAGACTGACCACACTTCCTCTGCACTCTAGCGACCAAAGGCTCCCAGACAAACTCCTTCCCCTGAAGGGAGAGGGATCCCTGTTCACCACCCATCCCACCTCAGGTCATTTAGGGCTCAGGCAGGGCGGGGCCTAAGGCACACTGACAGACTGTCGGGCTATTCACCTTGTCTACCCTGCCTCCTCCTTCCCTTGATAGGCACAGGTGTCACTTGGGAGCAAGGTCCAGGCTCAGGCTCTGTCTTTGGACACAACGTTCAAGACCGTGAAACAACAAGACTGACCCTCCCTCCGCCCACAAATATCTTCCTTTTCTTCCCCACTTACAGATGCTTCGAAGTCTAAGACGCTCCCACAAGAGCTCTCCGCAGGGACGCCGTGCGGGCCCTGGGAGAGTGCTCATCCTCTACGGGGTTGCAGGCTGGGTGAGAGCGGGCTGCGGACCAGGAGGGCCTTTACTCCAGCCTCTCCGTCAAGGTTGCGTTCACCAGCCTCCATTGGCGTAGCCCCTGCGGTCTGACAGTAATCACTATAGAAATAGTGACAGTGGGTGGTTAGGATTCCTCGCTTCCACTGCAGGTGACACGTGTTGGATCCCTGGTCGCGGAACTAAGATCTCGAAAGCCTCACGGCTAGGCCAAAAAAAAAAAAAAGGTTACTGTGGGTGCAGAGTAGGGAAGAGGCCTAGGCTAAACCGCCCTCCGTCAGATAATCACAATAGAGGCTGGCACGCGCCGCGATCTCCCAACCTTGAGCCAGTCACCGATCTGAATACATTAGATACGTTAACCCTAGAGGGAGTACTATTATTAACCCAACTGAGGTGCGGAATCTGCGCTCTCCAACGCCTCATTGCTGTCTGTGTCTGTTGAGCCGGCCAACTTGTAAACCTGGGCGCGGCCCTGCGCTCCCCCGCGGTCAGACCGCAGCGCCGGGGCCGGACAGGGCGCGGAGACTCGGCCCTGGAATCCGCGAAAGCTCCCGGGCGCAGGGGTCGGAGCTGGGCCTCAGTCTGCAGAGGACCTGCGGAAGGTGGAGGCGCATTCCTAGACGGGCACAGCGCGTGCCAAGGCCGCCAGGGGTGAAGAGCCAGGTGCAGAGCCGTCTACCAGACGCGGGCGGAGAAGTCTTTAGCTCTGCGCCCGGGAAACCTGGTCCTCGCGCCTCAGCCGCGGGGAGCCCCGGGCGCCCCGCCCCGCGCGGAGCCCTTCGGTTCCGGGAGCGCATGGTCGGCTCCGCGCCCTTCCAGGGCCACTACCAGGACCGGGCAGGGGCGGAGCCGCGGCCTCCGGGAGCTGGGTCCCTGCCCCCGCCGTTCTTTGCTGACCGGAGCGCGACGAGGTACCGTCCCCCGCGTCCGTCCGACGGCCCCGCTCGGCGCTTTAAAAACCCGCCCGGCTGCAGCGGCGGCGGCGGCGGCGGCGGAAGGCGCGGAGACTGGCGCGACCGAGCCCCGGGCCCGCGCCCCAACGGCCGGCCAGAGCAGCCCCATGGAGGGTAAGTGCCCTCGCCTCCTCACCCGCTATCCCGGCGCAGCGCTCCGCGCCCCGGCCCCTCAGCCACCCGTCACAGCACTTTCCCTCACCCCGCGGACCTCTGTTGGGGCGCAGCCCTACCTTACCTCCCGCTCCTAGCGGGGTGCGGGGATGGAGCGTAAGGCCCGCTCCTCGCAGCTAGCTGCGGGTCAGGAGGTGTGGGTGTCTTTCCTTCTCACCACCCAACCGGGTCCTGACCCCAGAGCCTGGGAAGCCCCGCGCCCGCACGTGACCCGAAAGAGGGACCTTCCTCGCTTAGCGCAGGATCGAGGGTCCGAGCTCTCTCAGCCGGCTCAGACTGAAGCCTCCCAGGTCCGGGCAAGTGTGGGGTGCAGGTGCCGGTAGCAGAGTGCCTGTGTTTTGGTTTCTCACGCTCGCTGCTCCCATCTTCATCCACATCCCCTCCACCGCCTCCCACCGACTCGGCTAAGTGTGTTTGCTGTGAGAGGGCTCCGCGGAGGGAGCGGTTTTTAGAGAAAGTTACAGAATTCAAGCTACAGTCCAGCCTCTCAGCAGGTTCCAGGACCCAAAGGGTAGGGCTCTGAGTGCCACCCAGGGCGTCATCCCTTCCCCTGCTTTCATTAAGTGCAGGGTGCCCAGCTCACCCTCAAGCCTGAACAGGAGTCCAGGGAAGATGGAGGTTCTGATAAGAGAAGGGTTAATTTCTACGCAGAAGCACAAGGAAATGGTTAATTTCACCCAGAATCCCAAGTCCCGGGCCAGCTGCTTTCCAAGGGAAACCAGAAAGCTCTGCCCAGGGCACTAGGACCATAAGGGAAATGGTTTCTCCTTGAGACCCAGCAGAGCCCAGCCAGCAGCACCCCTCCCCAGCAGATACATTAAACCTGCTTCTGTGTTATCCCTGGGGTCCAACCCAGGGGGGTGGGCTTGCTGCTCAAATTCTGTCCCCAGCCTGCCAGTGGTGTGAAGGGGAGTGGCCTTCCCCAGGTATCACATCCCGGTGGTGTCTGCCCCCAGAGCAGGTGGCCCTGGTGATTGGGGGCATCCCTGGGGGACTGCTGCTACTGCTGCTGTTGATGGTGGTGAGCCGGTGTCTCTGGAAGAGGCTTTGCGCCACGTTCACCTATGAGGAGCTGTTAGGGACCACGGCTGCCTCCAGCACACAAGGACACAAGCTCTGCCCACCGGATGCCAGGACCCAGGCAAGCAGGTGAGGCAGGATTGGGGCCTTGGGGCCAAGGGAGCTCCTGCTCTTGCTTCGGGCCCTCCCTGTGGCGTTTCCCCCGGAGCGGCGTGGGGAAGGAAAGGTCTGTTTATGGAGGGCCTCCTCTGTGCTGTCAGCAGGCCAGGAGCTATCACAAAGAAACCCCAGAGTTCTCACCACAGCTGTGAGGCAGGTGTTATGAAGCCCGTTTTCCAGCTAAGGAAAGTGAGGCTCAGTGGACGTAAGTAATGGGTCCAAATAGCACAACCAGGAAGTGGCAGAACAGGCATTCAAACCCAGGCAGACCTACTCCGGAAGCTGTGCTCCTTCAACTTAGCACTGCTGTGGGCAGACAGAGGTGTTGCCTCTGGCTCTGTGTGTGTGTGTGTGTGTGTGTGTGTGTGTGTGTGTGTGCCCTGGTGTATGGTGCTCTTGCCTCCTCCTGGCTCCTGCTGGCTTTTTCTCCTCCAGTGCCTGGCACTCAACCCCTCTGCGCTGAGCGCTCTGAGGCTACACTGTTCACTAGCCACCTACATGTCATCTCCGTGCCTCTGGACAGGCCACCAGGTGTACCATTCGTGGTGCCCCCTTCCCTCCGAAGCCAAGACTGGGTGCCCCTGAGCAGCAGAGAGTGGGCCCAGGCCCCACAGGACCCCTGCCCAGCCCCGGAGCTCCTGCCTCATGCCACCTACAGCAATCTTGGTGAGTGTGCCCACCAGGGCCTGCCCAGGGGTCATGGTCTGCTCAGGCCAGGGCGGACCCATCTGGTTTCATGGGCCTGGCTCCAGAAAAGAGCCTGGATGGGCCTGGGGATGCCAGAGTTGCCCAGTGACCACTCTTTCCAGGTGCTTGGGTTTACCAAATGCCTGCTGCACCCCAGCCTGGGCCAGATATGGCTTCATGTGCCGTTTTGGAGTTAGACCATAACTCTGGGGTTGGGGGAGGGATTATCACCCCATTTTACACCTTAAAAAACTGAGGCTCCGGAGGTTAACAGTGCCTTGCCCAAGGTCACAGAGGCAGTAAGCAACAGATCTGGAATCGGAACCCCAGTGTTCCTGGGTGCAGAACCTGTGCTGTGTCCTGCTTCCAGATGATGGGTTGGCCAATGCAAAAGAGGCAGCATGGTGGAAGCTGGGCACACAGCTTTCTGCCTCTACCTCTTTGCTCTGAAGACCTCCCCAGGAACCACCCAGTAATCAGCTAGGCCCTTCTAATTTAAAGAGGAAGAAAAGGGACAACACTATATTACTGAGACACCCTCTGGACACCATGGAAAGGGGCCAGGCCAGATGCTGGGAACTGCGCCCCGCCCTGCAGGCCCTGACCTCTGGGGGTGGGGGTCAGTCACGGGAGCAGGGGTTGAATGAATACTGTGGCCTCTGCTAGGAGCCCCAGGGAGGAACAGGCCTGGATGTAGAATGCCTTAGTGCTGAGAAGGCCTCTTGGGGGAGCTGCACTAGAGAGAGGGGCTGTGTTCAGTTTGGAGAAGAGAGCAGGACGAACATGGTCAGGAGAGGCCAGTGAACTGCCTGGTCAAAGCTCAGCCAGGAAGGGCTGGGCCAGGACAGGTGTGGCAGTGGAGCCCAGAGCTTGCTGTCCCCCATGCTCCTGCCTTCTCCTGGCCTGCCAGTCCTCCCAGCCCCTGTGTTGTAGGAGACGCATGCGTGGTGGGGACCATCAATCCAGAGCTCTACAAGATCCCGGAGGACAAAAGTGAGACCCACTTCCCTGAGGGCTGCCTGGGGCGGCTGTGGTTCTCTGTGGAATACCAGCAGCAGGCCGAGCGACTGCTGGTGGGCCTGATCAAGGCACAGCGGCTGCAAGCCCCCTCAGAGACCTGTAGCCCCCTGGTGAAGCTCCATCTGCTACCGGATGAGCGGCGCTTCCTCCAGTCCAAGACCAAATGCGGAACAACCAGCCCACAGTTCGACGAGCACTTCATCTTTCAGGTATGGCCTCTGGAGCGGGCAGGGTCTGGGGCCCTCTCCTTCCTGGGAAGGACAGACATTGTGCAGGAGAGCCCCAGCCTTCTGTGCTAACCACGGCCCTGCAGTCCCCAGGACCCCTCTGCCACAGGCTCTGCTTTACCCCTCCTGCCAGGTCCGGGTGTACAAGAGCCCTCACCCTTGAATGGTGGGGGAAGATGAGAGACTTGAGGGATGAGGGGGCAGAGGGCTAGGCTCCTCCTGTCCAGGTTGCCTGGAGATGAGAAACAGAAACATATTCTTGGAACACCCACTGAATGCCAGGCCCTGGCTCATGGGGCTCAGGGAGGCACCCCAAAGCCCAGGAACACGAGGAGCTCTCTGGCAAGGTTATCCACGGAAGGCGGAGGGGGAGACCCCCCCGCCCAGGCCGCTTGGGGTGGGGGCAGGAACTCACCCATCCCGTCAGAAGCCAGAGCAGGACCTGAGAGCCATCTTGTGACAGGTGGTGCCTTGGCAGCATGGTGGGCGGATGAGCTCAGGGTCTGGAGGTGCTGAGGCTGCCGGGGCACTGAGCCAAGCTCACGGCGGCCTGGGAGCCTCAGCAGGTAACTGGAGCCCTTATGGGAAGCCAGCAATCAAGAGCTGCCGAGAGGCCCTGGACAAACATTTTTAAGAGCAGGGCAGCAGGTTGGTTGGCAAGGTAAGGAGAGGCCAGTCTGCATCTGGGAAGAGTGTGATTCCTGCCTTCTTCCGGGGCTGAGCACCGAGAAGAGAGGTGGCACGCGGCCCAGCCCCTGGCTGTCCTGCTGGTGCCGAGGCTGTGAGAATTCACAGGTGAACCTGCTCCTCTTAGGACATCCAGATCCAAGGTGGGGAGGCTTGGATCAGCCACACGTCATGCTCGCATAGTTACACCCATCACTTCCCTGCCCTATCCCTGCACCAGCTTGCTCCTGGCCTCTCTGTGCTTTATGGGGGAAGGGGAAGGAGAAGAAGAGAAGAAAATCAATATTAATTAACCATCTGCCATTCGTGGTTTTATAACCCAGAGAGTAAGAAACATTATCCCATTTTACAGGTGAGGAGACTGAGTCTCAGGGAGAGGGCTGTTCAGGTGCCCAACTCAGGTAGCAGAGACAGGCGGGTTCCCTGGGCTCCAGTGCGGGAGCCTCTTACACTTTTATGTGTAGGCGAATCATTGGATGCCCTGTTAAATGTAGATTCTGCTTCATGGGTCTGGGTGGAGCCTAAGGTCCTGCACTTCTGAGGTCCAGGGGGTGGTGTGTGCTGCTGGTCCTTGGAGCACACTCTGCGTGGCAAGGCTCTGGCACACCCTGCCACCTCCCCGGGATACTGGCCCAACGGCAGCAAAGGGTCCCCTAAGGATGCCTGGGTTTGGGGTGCACAGGTCCCTGGTTGAGACCCCTCATGGAAGGATCCTGTGTCCAGAACATACCACGCCATCCCATCCCCTGACCCCACACCTGAGCCCAGCCGGGCCCTCATTTCCCTCAGGTGCCCAGCAAGAGTGTCACCCAGAGGGTGCTGAGGTTCTCGGTGTACCACGTGGACAGGCAGAGGAAGCACCAGCTCCTGGGCCAGGTGCTGTTCCCCCTGAAGACAGAGACCCTGGTGGGCGACTGTCGGCGCATCATCTGGAGAGACCTGGAGGCTGAGAGCCTGGAGGTAAAGGTCAGGGTCACCAGACCATGTGTCAGACTACCGTGGACAGCCAGCTGGTGTGGCCCAGCACCTGCTGGCCAGTGTCAGCCCTCAGCATACTGCCCACCACCCCTACAAGTGTGACTTAGCATGGTGGGCCTGGGCCGAAGCTGCGTGGGACAAGGAGGGTGTGTGGAGCCTCGGCAGGGAGGGGCGCCTGAGCCTCTTTTGCCCTGGAGGTCAGATTACCTGGAGCATCCTGAAAAATCCACGTTTGGATTCCCATCCAGATCAGACAGCTGTGAAAGATGACACCCCAAATGGACCAGCCAGGGAAACTACCTACTCTTCCCCCAACCCCCAGTGAGGGTCCGGGTGGCTCAGAATAGGCCTTGGAACCCCCCAGACCTGGGTTTGAATCTTCAGCTCTGTTCCTTACTACTGTGTGATCTTCAGCGTGCCCCTTCAACTCCCCAGACCTCAGTTTCCCCATCTGTAAAATAGTGGGTGGGCTTCCAGGAGGGAGTGTGGCTATGTCACGGAGTACCCAGGGCCTGCCTGCTGGGAGGCATGGGGGCCTCCAGTACGTACCAGGGTGAGAGGGGTGCTTTCCTCTCGGCCTCTCCAGCCTCCCTCCAAGTTTGGCGACCTCCAGTTCTGCCTCAGCTACAACGACTGCCTGAACCGCCTCACAGTGATCGTGCTGCGAGCCAAGGGCCTCCAACTCCAGGACACGACCTTTGTCAGTAAGCCTTCGCCCTGGGGCAGGGCCCACCCCGTGAGCTTGGGACCCTCACCCCGCCGTCCAGCTTCTGCTCGCATATGCTGCCAAGAGCATCACTGCCTCCCGAGCCACGCCCTCCCACTCTGCACGGCTGTGGCGTGAGAAGCTGCTTCGTTATGTGAATCCCAGGGCTGCATCTCCTTGGCCTCCATCAAGACCCCTAAGACACCTGAGACCAAGTTTGCCCTTCCCTTTTCGCAAAGCGGTGTCTTGGCTTCTTGCCTGCGCTGCCTGACTCTGCCCCTGCCCTTCTGCGAAGGTTCCAGTTCCTCCAGGACGAGGCCCTGAGCCCCTCTGCCCTGGGAGCTGGGGGTAGCGGGGGCACCCCTGCATCCAGAGCTGGTCACTCAACTGGAGCCTGGGAGCTGGGGGCACAGGAGCCCTGCTCGGGCTCACCCCGCATGTCCCGCCCCACTGTGAGCCCCCCAGCCACACAGTGGGTGGTTGTCTGCCCCCATGCGTCTCTGCCTCTGGCTCACTGTAAGCAAGCTGGCATTCAACCCTCCACTGCGGATCCAAAACCCATCTAAGCCTCCCCTCCAAAAAACTTGGCCTCCGAAGGAGAAGGTGTTTAGGGGCCCCAGGAGGCCTGAGCACCCAGCAGGCAGGACCCGCCCGCTGTGGGGAGGGATGGGAGTGTGGTAGCAGGTTCTAGGAACAAAGGCCAGCAGAGCCGTGGGTGCGTTCAGGAGACAGACAGGAGAGAAGAGGAAGGGAGCCGAGCGTTTCCTCGGCTGCAGGCAGTACACCAATCAACCCCGTAATCAACCCCGTTTCCTCTTGTAACGCCCTTTGGCTGAAGCAGCTGTGAGTAATGGGGTCCTGGCGCCCAGGCAGGCCATGTGCCCCCCCAGCCGGACCTCCCACAGGCTGGAGGCTGGGCCCCTGCTCGCCCCTCCTAGCCCGCGGTCTGCACTGCCCCCCAGGTGTGCTTGTCAAGGTGTCTCTGATGAACCACAACAAGTTTGTCAAGTGCAAGAAGACTTCGGCTGTGCTGGGGTCCGCCAACCCTGTGTACAGCGAGACCTTCAGCTTCAAGGCCGACCCTGCCGAGCTGGACACGGCGAGCCTCAGCCTGACGGTGCTGCAGAGAGCCGAAGGGGACAGTAAGGCTGCTCCCTTACCCTCAGGCCGTGGGGGCAATGGGCAAAGGAGGAGCTGCTGTGCATTCAGGAAGCACGGACCCTTTGGAGGGAGCTGTATGGTTTCTGTTCTCTGCCTAAGGAAACTAGCACTCAGAGAGACTTAGATAATTGCCTAAGAACACGGAGCTTGCTAGTGAGAGACCTGGGATTCACACCCAGCTTTACTCTGGTTTGATTGTCCATAGCACCCTAGAAAGAGGTTAAAGGATGGCCTCTGCTACCGCCTCCTGGAGCAAATCACCAGAGAGGTTGGGAGACGGCACAGCTACCTGACACCCAGCTCAATGACCTGGTGCCGTGGGTCTTCATGTGCCCTTGTGTTGCCTCATGCCTTCTGTACAAGTCTTGAGGGTCCTGGGTAAGGTTCAGTGTGGCTGAGAGGGTGGAGTTATCCCAGGCTGCTCTCCCATACTGCCCCCCACCCCAGTGTCCACTGTCACTGAGGCAGAGCTGTCGGGCCAGCTGGTCTCATGGGCCAGAGCTTAAGCCCCTTCTCCACTGTGGTAGTTGGTGGGTGAAAATCATTGTTGGATACTCCCCCTGAATATACAAGTAGGCTGATGGAAGAGGGCTTCCTTCTGGAGGGGCCCCTTCCTCCCTCGGCTCTTTGATGTGAGGCAGGTTTGATGGCCCACCGGGAGGCTGGGAGCAGAGTGGGTGCCCCAACGGAAAGGCAGGCTCTCCATCTGGGCTCCCTTCCCCTGCCAGCTGCCACTCCAGATCAAAGTCAAGACCTCTTTGGAGGCTGTTAAAGAGGGAGGGGGCTGGCTACTTCCTTCGAGGGGAGGAGTGAGAGAGAGGGAAGGCACTGGGGATGGCTGAGGTCATGTGGCTTCTGGGCTCCAGAGAATGACAGTGTTCTCCCGCCCCGCCCCCCCGCAGGGAGCCGCGAGCTGGGCCGGGTGGTGGTGGGCCCCTACATGTACACCCGCGGCAAAGAGCTGGAGCACTGGAACGAGATGCTTAGCAAACCCAAGGAGCTGGTGAGGCGCTGGCACGCGCTCTGCCGCACCACTGAGCCCTGACCCGGGCAGGGACCTCGGGTCTGCTCCAGGAGCCCTATCTCCCCACAGCCATGCCTGACAGCCACAGGCCTGGACGCTGCATCCAGCATTCTCACTGGGCTGCAGGACCAGCCCGAGCCGGGGGATCACGAGTGCCAGTGTGCAGGAGAGAAGAGACAACAAGAGAGCCCCGGCCAGGGCAGTGTTGCGGCCGCTGGGTTACATCTCACCAGCACGAGAGGCCCTCCCGACTCATTCCATCCTTCTTTACCCGTGGGGCTGCCTGGGCTTGGAATCCTGGCTCCTGGTCATCCCAGTCTCGAATTGGACCGGAATCTCAGGCATTGGGAAGAAATACTCTCTAGAGTGAAAGCATAGCTGTGCACGTTGCATGGAGTGCCAGGGAAACTTGGAAAACTGATGATGTGTTGATGCTCAGCCTCCACTTTTTTCCTCTGTGGTTTCTCTGCCTTCTGCCTGGCGGAGAAAATGAACTGCCCAAAGCGTTTATTTCGGTTGGTCCACAATAAATAGCACAGTCTGAGAAACTGGATCGGCGTGTAGGTGCGGAACAGTCCCCAGGATGCCTGGGCAGCACGGCTTGGGAGAAAAGGCTCCTGGGGATCGTGACTCACTCGCTTCACACCTGCAGGAGAAAGCAGCCCACCCAGGTACCAAGTGGTGGACGGGTTCTGGGCGTCCCCTCCTGGAGTTCTCACTTTGGGCATGAAATGGTGAAAGCATGTGGCCAAAGCATAGCCCATAGGGCTGAAAGCTTTTCCCGTAAACCTAGCAATTCCATTATGATTATTGTGTTGTGGTAGGTGTCGGTGTAAACTTCATTAAGATGGAAGTTCTCTCAACTTCCTGTGAAGATGTACTCAGGGTCACTGGCAGCCCTTGTGCTTGTCACTGTTACTTATCAGGCAGTTTGTATTTTCACCCAAATGCTACTAAACTTGCAGATTCAAGCCTTGTTACTGTGTAATTCGAACAACACTTAAAACAGAAACTTCTCTTTTCTTAGGCAGTGAAGCAACTTCTGCAAAAGCAAGTAGTGAATGTTGACGTCGGTTTGTGCCTCTTTGACTTCACCTCCATTGTCTGTCAATGCACAAATATAAGCTTTGCTGGCAGTGGTCCATACACACAGAATACCTTGTGTTTGCTTTTCCTCACTTATTTCACGGGTACACTTTTAATGTAGTCCACACTCCAGGAATTTCTAATAGTGCTGTAGCACACACATAATAGGCATTCTGTGTGTTTGTATAGCCAGCTACTAAAATGGAACTGTTCCCCTTTCACCTGGGGTCATGAAACCATAGGTGCCAACCACCTCCACATTTCAAGGGGAGGTTCATGCCTGTCAGTGACCTTTCCAGGGCCACTTGGAAAAGTTGGTAAGTTTTCCCTTTGCAGAACAGAATGGATGGGTATGGCCTACTCACGGTTGAAAATTCTCAATGGCAAGAGACAGGCAGGCTCTCTGCTCTGATGGGGAGGTGGGGGTGGTATACTGGACTGGCCCCCGTCTACAGATGCAGTCAGGGTAAAAAATACACAAGTGCCTCCCGTAGACCAGAAACGACAGCCAGCCTGGCTATCTCGATACTGTCCACAAGGTGACCCCAGCAGAATGAAGCCCTCGGCATTTCCATAAAACATTTAGAACCAGCTTCTCAATTTCCGCACCAAAAAAGTGCTAGAATTTGGTTGGATTCTTCATGGAGTATATAGATCAGTTTGGTGGCCATTTGGTATCTTTACAATGTTGAATCTTCAACCCATTGACATGGTGTATCCCTCTCTTTCTTTAAGTCTTTTGCAAGTTTCCTTAAACGTGTTTCGTGGTTTTCAGGAACGTGTTTTTGCACCTCTTTTCTTGGATTTACTCTTAGGTGTTTTATATTTGTTTGTTTCCAATATAGAGAGATTCTACTGATTTTTGTATGTTGACTTTGTACCTAGTGAGTGGCCTTGCTCAAGTCACTTGTAATAGTTTGTCTGTAGATTCTTTGTACCTTCTTTGTATACAGTCATGGCCTCTGTGAATGATAGTTTTACTTCTTCCTTTCCAATCTTCACGCCTTCTTTATCTCTTGCCAAGTTGCAGTGGCTGGGTAACTGGACAAGAAAAGGAAATAAAAGGCATCCAGATCATGAAGAAAGAAGTAAAACTATATTTATTTGCAGATGACACGGTTTTGTATATAGAAAATCCTAAGAAATCCACCAAAAACTTTTGTGAATGTAGAATTCTAGTTTGACATTTCCTTTTCTTTCAACGGCTTTAAAATGTTATTCATATTTCAGAACTTCTTTTTCTTTTCTTTCTTTTTTTTTTCTTTTTTGGCCACGCAGCATCCCTTCCAGGATCTTAGTTCCCAGAATGGGGAATGAACCTGGGCCACCGCAGTGAAAGTGCCAAGTCCTAACCACTGGACCACCATGGAATTCCCAAAATTTCTTTTCTGTGTCTCCCTTTTATCTGACATCTTGGCCCCTCCAGCCCCAGCTGCCTTGGCAACCCCAATCTCCAGTGTCTTGTCTTTCCAGCTCCAGAGTGTCTGCTGCCTTTTCTGCCTCTTAGCCATGGCCCTCTGTCCAAATGCTCAGCCTCTTAACTAGAATCAGCAAGTTTCCTGAAGGGAAAAGTGGTTCACAGAACGTCAGCTCATCTCCTTGTGTTTCCCTTCTTCTGAGATCATGGCCCACCAAATGCTTGTCGACTTGGCAGCTCTTCAGCAAAGAAGTTTTCTGTATTTTATTCAGGTTTTCTAGTTGTTCTCAGCAATGAACATAACTCTGACTCAAGCAGAAAAATAATTATTTTCTCAGAATTCTTCTCCCAGAAAAAGAATTCGTAGCAAAGAGTGATTTTATACAGGGAATTTGATGACACAAGTTACACAGCCTTCTTGGGAGGCTGATGAAGCTAAAAGGAGAAAAGTTGCTTGTATCAGTTGGCTATTTTTGGAATAATGGTGCATAACAAACAATCTCAACATCTCGGTGTTATACTGAAATGAGAATTTATTTCTCACACATCTATGGGTCAGCTGAGTGTGGGCTGATCTAGGTTAGGCAACTCACTTTCAAGCTGTGGGTCTGGCCAGGCTTGGGTCCTCATCCAGACCTGCTCCATGTTTGTTCATTCTGAGCTCCAGCTGAAGGGGCAGCAGCTACCCAGGGAAAGCTCTTCTCATGGGGAAGGCAGAAGAAGGGCAAACACATTTCTACCCTCTGCTTGTGTTGTGTCACCTAATATCCCATCGGCTGAAGTAAGTCGTGTGGCCAAGTTCAAAATCAAGAGGCAGGGAGGTAAACTACACCTTTTTGTGAGAAGAACTGCAATGCACCATAGCAATGGATACAGCTACAGGGGGGGGTTAAGGATTGGGGTGATAACTCAGTGCACCATACTGATGTTCCCTAGAAATGGGGAAAGCCAGGCCCTGTGCTTGGCTGTGCAGGTGCAGTCCCTGAGGAGGAGACCTCCCTGCCTCGTAGCTGCTGCCAGGTCTCAAAGCCATTGCTGCCTATTTGGTATCCCATAGTGATGACTGGGCAGAATTTGCACAAATTCTTTGCTCAAATTACTGCAAGAGCCTTGAGCATCCTGCTGTCATAAATGTCACAGTCAAAGGGAGAAAAGGATGATTTTTTACCTTCTTTCCACTTTCTAGCTTCACCTGAGTGTCTCACATTTGGTAAACTCATCCTGGAACCCTGTTCATAAGTGTCAGGAAGCATAATTTCCAGACTTCCATTTCCAAAAAATGTAATAAGACCTTTAAAGGGGATGGGGAGGGGGCTGTGTGCCAACCCACACTCTGGGGCAAACCTGAGTCACAGGAACCTGCAGAGAAAGGAGGCTCTTGAAGAACCCTCGTGAGTACTCTAGCTCATAACTGGTCATGTTAGAACCTCTCCTGCCCCTTAGGTGGCCTTCCCATACCCCCTCCCTGCCCCTGTGTGGATGATCAGAAATCCCTGTAAGCAAGTTGGGAAAAGAGGAGTGGGAGCACAAATTGGAGAAACAGGAAAACAGTGCTCCAAGCCGATCTTCTGCTATAGGCATGAGCCCAGGTCAGGGCAGGAGTGAGGGGGAGGCGTGCACTTTAAATGAAGTTGGAGATAACTAATGAGAACCTACTGCATAGCACAGGGAACTCTACTTAATGCTCTGACCTAAATGGGAAGGAAATCCAAAAAAACAGGGGATATATGTATATGTATAGCTGATTCACTTTGCTGTACAGTAGAAACTAACACAACATTGTAAAGCAACTACACACCAATAAAAAATTTAAAATAAAAATAAAAAAATAAATGAAGTTGGAGGTTTGGATCACTGCATGACTGGACATTTCAAGTGCTGAACATAACCTGTTTTTGCAAATAGAAGTTATAGGAAACATTTATTGTTACATAAGAGTGCTCAAAAAAGTCATGGGACTTGCCCTAGATTTTATCCAAATGGCAGGGAGAAGCTACCTGCCAAGCAGGTTTGAATGGATGACTGGGGAATAAAAGGATCAAATATTTTGCTGATTACATTCTATAAGGCTGGATCTTTCAACAAAGTGGATATATTTCTTAACTGAATTTTTTTTTTTTTTTGCGGTACGCGGGCCTCTCACCGTTGTGCCCTCTCCGCGCAGGCTCAGCGGCCATGGCTCACGGGCTCAGCCGCTCCGTGGCACGTGGGATCCTCCCGGACCGGGGCATGAACCCGCGCCCCCTGCATCGTCAGGCAGACTCCCAACCATCGCGCCACCAGGGAAGCCCCTTAATTGAATTTAATATGCCTTTATGAACACAGATTAGAATATCTACTTATTATGGGGTTTTCCCCCTAATTTTTAAGTATGGAATTATTTGCTCAGATCACTCTTCCCCTCTCAGTTTCAGAAGAGTGGAATGACTGTCAAGGTGGGGAGAAAGGCACTAGCTCTGAGGAACGGTACTAGGTCATTGCACATCATCAGCTTGTTAAACTCCACAGCAGTCCAGGAGAAACTGCCCCACACTTAGAAGTGAGGAAAGTGC